TCTCTCTGGGTCCTCTCTCTTGCCTCTAAGGGAGAAGAGGTCTGCTCCTTGATTTGACGCTTTGTAACCAGATATTAGAGATGCAATAGGGATACTTGTTATCCTGCCTCCTCACCAGATTGGTCAGCAGCGCAGGGAGGAGGGAAACCCCAGATAGGCTACTTCCGTGATTGGCATAGTGCAGATTACGATAGTTGTGCACGCCATGAGCAGTAAGTAGACATCCCAGTTCCAGGAGGAGCTCCCACTTGGCCCAGCCACCTGTGGTGGCAATACTCATCTCTACCAGATATACCATCATATAAGTCAGCCCAGGTTTTTAGGATCAACACCTACATTTCTTGACTTATATACAAGCATGCAGTATATGGTATTTGATCCTTATTTCTTTTTTTAATTTTTCCTAATTTTTGTTATTAATTTCAGAAATAATTCTACACATGAGTTCCTTGGCGGGGGGAAAAGTCACCAGTATTCTGTTGAATATTTATAATATAGTTTCACCGCATCTTCACAAAACCCATATTTGCTTATGTGTTTGAACTGCATGGCTACATTTTCAAATGAAAGCATGAAGCCAAGCAAATTGGAAAAACAGTTTGATACCTTGCATCCAGATAAGAAAGATAAACCCTTGGATTTCTTCAAAGCCTTTGAGATAATTTTGAGAGAAGGCCAACACTGACACAAATTCTTACTCAAGCATCACAGAAATTAGACAAGAGTCTTGTTGCATCATATACAATTAGCAAACTGATCACTAAAACTGGAAATGCTCACTGCATTGGTGAGTCACTTACCTTGCCTTTAGTGTTCATAATAATATCTGATGTCATGAATTTGAGTGCCAAAGAAACAATTCTTTTGAGTAACTCCACACTTGCCAGAAGAATCATGTAGACGGCACATGACATGGAAGAGGGATTGGTCAGTTCAGTCCAATTCAAGAAATTATCTTTACAATTAGATGAAACAACCTTACAAGATAACAATGCTCTTCTCGTGGCTAATATAAGATTCTGGAACAGTAATGAACTGATGGAAGAGATTTGTTTGCCAGGAGGATTGATACAGATACTAAGGGACTGTCTATTTTTGAAGAAGTCAAAAATTACTTAAGGTGAGAACACTATTCCAATTGAGAATATAATTGCTTGTGCAGTATATGGTGCTGCTTCTGTGGTTGGTCGATACAGAGCATTCATCGCCCATTTAAAGAGTTATACCTTCTGTCTTTACTATTCATTGCATCATTCACAGGGAGCATCTAATGTCTAAGAATTTGGGAGGATGCCTCAATATTTTGCTTCCAGTTGTCATAAAGGCTATACATTTCATCAAATCCCGTGTCCTTCAGGATCATCTTTTCTGACAGCTATGTGAAGAAAATAACCAAGACTTCCAGATGCCGATGATGCACACTGAAGTTAGATGGCTTTCCAAGGAAAACTGTCGTCAAATTTTGTTACATTCTGGGACACCATAGCTCTATGTCTGATAAAGAGCATGGAGAAAAAAATTGTTGATGTTAAGGTAGACATATTTTATCTGGCAGATTTTCTCATAAACTTAATTTATTAAACAAGACCTTGCAAAGCAAAAACATTAA